TGGCCTGTAATGAGCACAGTCAGGAATCATTCCAGAACTTGGGTTGTGAGGAGCTTTGTTTCGGCAGGTTGATCCTCACCATTAGTCGACCGAAACCCCAGGTTCGGCCGACCGAACCCCCTTCACCAGCCGACCGACAGGCTATTTTGGAAAGTCCCGAGAGCATGTAAGTTTCAAAACCATTTCAGTCGGCTGACTATGTAAGTCAGCAGACCGAACCTGCCCCGTTAGCCGGCCGACCCAAGACCATCAGCCTACTAACCCTTCCCTTTTAGACCTGTACACTTGTTCACTCTGTAACACTATGTTCTTAGATTATTTTAGACCCTGGACTGACTCATATGTCACGTATTGATATAGGAAAAGACAGTGTTGTCCTTAGTTGACCTCGGGTTCGGGTAAGGACCTGATTAGTGATTCGGACCCTAGGTTCGGGTCGTTAAATTCATTCCCTATGAGTAATGTAAGTTACTCACCCCACTGCATGCTATTTGTTTCAGGTAAGAAGACGTGGTTTATGGATGCAAAATATCCCTAGGTTGTCTTGTTAAATTTGGAGTTTTTTTTAATGTATTTTGTTCACATACAAGTGTTAGCATGTTTAAGTTCTACTTAAAAAGTTGTAATACTTAGTTAAATTAAATATGTCATTTTTGCCTTAAGACATGTAATGTGAACGTATGTATACTTTTTGAAGCCCATTTTATATGTATGAGGTGTGACCACTGGCCAAACACCATTTCATTTTCGTCTTGATACTTTAGTTTTGTAATTTTCCTTTAAAGGCAATAATATTGAAAAATAGGAAAACATGAAGTCTTAAGTTCTCATTTTCAAATTGAATGGTGCAAAGTGTGCACGAGCACACTTATTAGGGTTCATTTTATATATTTAAGGTGTGGCCCAGGGCCAAACGCCTATTTGTTTTCATTTATGTATTTTAGTTTCAAGTTTTTACTTTTGAAAGTCATTTTAGGCAAATTTTAGGTTTGATAGGTTGTATTTTGCATCGGGCATATTTGGGGGCCACGGACCATTCCCGCGCGCTTTAAAACACTAATTACGTTTGCATGCACAATCGTTTTTGTACACAACTTCATTTTTTGTCAAATGAACACTTGAAGCAATTCCATTTTTAGGTTTTTTGTCAAAACTGAGTAAAAGGGTATTTTGGGCATTTCACATCAAAATTAAAATTTTCTTTTGACATAGTCAGCTAGAAAACATAATTTTAAAGGGGGTTTCTTCTTTTTGTTTTTTAAAAAAAAATCCACTTAAGGGTTCAAAAAGCACATTGTTCTGGAAATATTAGCAAAAAGGGCTTGCTGTCAGCCAATGCCATGGCCGCGCGCATGGGGTACCTTGGTGCCCCTTCCTTGGCCATGACGTCTCCAAATTTGTTTTTGTCATTTCTTCTTCATTCAGGTTCCGAATTAAGTGATTTTTGAGTCTAACTTTGTTAAATTTTCGTCATCTATCCAATGGTGTGCTCGATAAAACCCAAATATTTCTTAAAATTACCATTTTACCCCTAGGGCTAAACTTGTCCCCCTTTTTTTTTTTTTTTTCAAAACGTCGCTTCTGCTTTGCTTTCTTTTGGGTTCTGTGACTTTATGGGAAGTGACAATTATTTCTTAGGGATGATGTGCATTTCTAGAGACATTGTTTCCGTGTAAAAAGACCATTTTGCCCTTGGGGGCATACTTGGTCTATTTTTGATCTTTTTCTTCCGTGTCATTCTCGTTGAGTTCCATGGCCTCATGGAAGGTCACTTAGGGATGATGTACATCTCTAGAGACTTGGTTTCTATTTTCGCTCCCACATTCGGGATCCGTTATCGGGTCAAGCTTCGGGTCATCGCAGGACGCACTGGCTTGAAAAACCAGTGCCGCCACACACATAGCATGGCCTTTTATAGAAATCAACCATAAGTATGTTCATCATAAAATTTCACATCATCTCAATTCATGCTAGCATTTACATTTCATGTACCTCTAAATTTAAGCAACATCATATACTTCATTAGCATGAAAAGAACACACATTTTTCCACATAATAGCATGATTTCTCTATATAAACATATCACTATCATTTTAATCCATAATTTAACATCCAAGAATGAATTTAAGAGAAATCAAACAAGGATGTTCAATGGAAAGCAAAGTTTAGAGCATTAGAAATCCCTACCTTAATTGTGTGCTACCAAACAAGGCCTCATGCAAGCCTTAATCCAAAGCTCTTCCAAACCTTAGCAATGGTGGTCTCAAAATGTAGCCCTTGCCAAGCACATCAACTTTCTTTTCTTGGCCTATGGCAAAATCCTACCTTAATCGTCTGAAATCTAAGCTTGAAACAATGGAGGCATATAATGTATATAGATATAGAGAGAGAAATAAGAGAGCTAGAGAGAGAGAGAGAGAAATTTGCTAAAAATGGGGGTAGAAGAAGAGGTTGGCTTGGTCTTCCAATTTGTCCCTTAGTCTAAATCATGCCAAATGTACATTGTGTGGATTACTAACTTTTGGCAAAGTTACCCCTTTGCCCTTAACCTTCCATTCCAATGCCATACAAGTCCCTAAAATATCTCCTCAATGTATCTATATAGGTGTATGTATACGCATGTGAAAAGTCCACAATGCCCCTCACTTAAAATGGCAAAACTGAAAAAAGTGCTTGAGCTCGAAAATCCACCCGACTACTGAAAATTCTAAAAATGATACCATCATTTCTAATTGACTTAAAATAAATAAAAATGCATTTCTAAAACTCTCGGCTCAAGAAAATGACCTAAACAGCCCTCGGGGCTCGCGTGGCATGCAAAATGAGTCACGTAAAATAAACAAAATAAATTCAAAAAAATCTAGAAAAAATCCAAGAAACTACAATATTAATCCTTAAAGGTGCCTTATAATTTGAATGAATAGTCACATATATATGTATAAATAAAGAGTTGTGTCGGTTGATGGAACCAACACATCTCTTCACGTTAATATTAAAACGGTCTCAACCTTCACTATATATATGTGTAAAAGGCTTGGAGTCTATCATCCAGTTTTGCAAACATAGGAGAGGGTTGAAGATCATTTCTGTTGTAGTTCTTTCCAAACTGAGTTTATATATCCAGGTATGTCTTTTATTAGATTTATGTATTGGATCCATGAATCCTATTTATGTTAGAGATTTTTTACAACAAATTCATTTTGAATTCCAAATCAAATCAAATCCAACATTCCAAATACAATAGGATTAGGGTGGATTTTGGAAGAGAGGATAAAAATATATAATTATCCCTGATTTGAATCTACACTCACACCCTTTATATGTATTGAATTTATATTAATACACTTCGTATTTTAATTCAATTATCAAATTATATAAAAAAAAATCTTATTTTCTTTCTCTCACTATTTCATAAATGATTTATATATATATATATATATATATATCAAATGTATCATAATAATTAGGGTAAACTGCAAAAGAAAAAAAAAAAATACCTGAAGTATGTCAGAATTTGTAAATGACCTCATTAAAGTATATTTTGTGCACAATATCCCCTAAACTATCACATTTTGTTACAAAATGCCATTATGTCTAGACTATTGTTCATTAAAAAACCATAATGCCCATTCTTATTAAATTACAATTAATCCATTTTTTTAAAAAATTTATTAGTTGATACTCACACCCCCCTCAAGGAATTGTTTGCATCCAAGAGGATTTGAACCATAGTTCTGATGCTTCCAGAGGCACCAGGGCCAAGTTCTTACTCACTTGAGCTAATCCATTGGGGTTCATTTTTTTAATTAAAATAAATTACAAAAAAAAATCATACTAATTCGATGACATATTCGTCACTAAATTTTCTTAAATTTACCTTTAATTCTTGAAATTAATTGTTTAGACAAAATATTAAATTGAAAATTTTAAAACAATTTAGTTAATTTTTAAATTTTTCATGAATATATTGTATGATAAAGAAGGTATTTTTTATTTAAATAATTTATTAATTTTTTTATGAATATATTGTATGAAAAAGAAGGTATTTTTTTATGGTAAAAAGGTTTAAACCGAATATATAGTAATAAGTTTTATTATAAATAATAAAATTTTAATAATAAGTTAATCATTTTAAAAAATAATAGTTACAACTCTATTTATTTTCTTACCATGTTTATGATAAATTGCTACTGATAATAAAATTAAGGTATATGTTATCATTAATATTTAATTGGAGAAAATAAAATAAAAATAATTTAATAATAAATAAATTTTATTATAAAAGGGTAAATAGGCTTTTATGATGGGTTTATCTGCAATTACAACAAATCATTAATTTAAGGTGTTTATTTGTAAAATGATAATAGTTCAAGTGTTTTGTACTTTATCTTATAATTATATATAAAATAAGTTAAAAAAGCAATATCCTAATGGGAATGGTGGTAGATGCACAAGAGGACCAAACTCGATTGTCCCATGCTGCCATGAACAACAATAAGATCTTCTTAAGGTAAGAAGTACCTTCAACTCTCCACATAGAATGTAGAAAGTTTAAATTTCCATAAAAACAAGTTGGTGAATGAGCCTATATTTCTTTTGAAAAATAAAAAACCTTAATCCTCTCTTACACTTATTTCCGTGGTATCATTTATGGCAATTTTAATGTATTTACTTTGAAATTTCATTGTGATTTTTATCATTTTTTTTTTATTTTTTTTATCACTCTAATGGTATTAGGTGGAATTTTATCTCTAGTGGTGAATTTTTTTCACTAAAATATTAAACCATTTAGAAAGCTTAGAAGTTTTTTTTTTTTTTTTTTTTTTTTTCCCTTTCTTTTTCCAAATTAAAAAAAAAAAAAACCACCACCAGTGATATAATAGGTTCCGGGCTTACTTAATTAAAAAAATGTAATTTTTCCGTGGTAAGGAAAATAAAATTTTTTTGGTAAGGTAAATTAAAAGTTTTTATTAGTCCAGGTCTGGAACAAAGAAAAACTTCTTTTACTCACCAGGTTTGGTACGAAATTTTTTTCCCTGGTGATACACAAATAGTAACAATTTATCCCTTGAAATATCTCAAGAGTGTTTTGCGACTGCTTCATGGGGGTGAATGCAACCTCTATACTCAACCGTGTTCTTCACAGCAACACCCGCAAACCCAAAACACTACCCACCAGCGCCAAAGCCTTAACCAACACAATTATCATCGACGTCAACGCCGGCCGACTCCAAAAAGCGGTGTCCATCCTCTTCGCTACCCCAGAAACCATCCCTTTCTCTCTGTACGCCCATCTCTTTCAGCTTTGCGCCACAAATCGATCCATTATTGAGGCTCGAAAGGTTGAGTCCCATCTGGTCACATTCTCACCGACTCCGCCCATTTTTTTACTCAATCGGGCGATTGAAACTTATGGAAAATGTGGGTGTTTGGAGGATGCAAGGGAGTTGTTTGACGAAATGCCTCAGAGAGATGGGGGGTCTTGGAATGCCATAATTACGGCGCATGCACAAGGTGGGTTTGCTGAAAAGGCATTGACTTTGTTCTTGCGTATGAACAGTTTAGGTGTTTCTGCCAATCAGATCACATTTTCTAGTGTTCTCGGGTGTTGTGCGGCAGTTCTGGAGCTTTTTCTTTCAAGGCAAGTACACGGGCTTATTGTAAAAGATGGTTTGTGTGGGAATGTAATTCTAGGAAGTTCTCTTGTGGATGTGTATGGAAAATGCCAGGTTATGAGTGATGCAAGGAAAATGTTTGATGAGATGCAGAATAAGAATGCTGTATCTTGGAATGTGATTGTGAGGAGGTATCTTGAGATGGGTGATGTAAAGGAGGCAGTGTTTATGTTTTTTGAGATGATACGAATGAACGTAAAGCCAATGAATTTTACGGTGTCTAACGCTCTTACTGCTTGTTCAAGAAAATCTGCGCTCAAAGAAGGGATTCAAATTCATGGATTTGCAATCAAGACTAATTGTGAAAAGGACGAGCTGGTTTCCAATTCTCTCATTGATATGTATGTGAAATGTGGAGATTTAGAGAATGCTCATAGGCTTTTTGACCTGTCTTGTTCAAAAAATTTGTTTAATTGGACGTCAGTGGTTTCAGGGTATGCTATGAGTGGGAGAACTAGAGAGGCAAGGGAGCTCTTCAATGAGATGCCAGAGCGGAGTGTGGTCTCATGGAACGCAATGTTGAATGGGTACACACACTCTTTACAGTGGGAAGAGGCCTTGGACTTTGTTTTTCAGATGCGCAAAGAGACTACAAAGATTGACAATGTTACTATTGGGTTGATATTAAATGTGTGTTCTGGCCTTTCAGATGTTGAATTGGGGAAACAAGTTCATGCCTTTATCTACAGAAACAATCTCTGTTCCAATCTCTTTGTGGCCAATGCCCTTCTTGACATGTATGGGAAGTGTGGAAACTTGAGAAGCGCTAGATTTTGGTTCCGTCAGATGAGTCATCGGCGAGATAGTGTTTCTTGGAATTCTCTATTGACCAGCTATGCTCGTCATGGGTTGAGTGAAGAAGTGATGGGGATTTTCTGGGAGATGCAGTGCGAGACAACGCCAAGTAAATTTACATTTGGAACTCTTTTGGCAGCTTGTGCAAATATCTTTGCTCTTGAACAAGGCAAACAAATTCATGGGTTTATGATCAGAAATGGTTATGAGATCGACGTTGTTGTCAGGGGAGCGTTGGTTGAAATGTATTCGAAATGCCGTTGTCTGGAGAATGCTCTCAAGGTTTTTAAAGAGGCAGCTTCACGGGATGTGATTCTTTGGAACTCCGTGATTTTAGGATCTTTTCACAATGGAAGGGGCGGAGAGGTACTTCAACTAGTTGAGTTAATGGAAAAGGAAGCCATCAAGCCAGATCATATTACTTTTCAAGGTATCTTGCTTGCTTGTATTTGTGAGGGCCACGTTGAGTTGGGTAGGCAGTATTTTGATTCAATGAGCGATAAATACTGTATCATACCTCGATTGGAACATTATGAGTGCATCATTGAGCTTTATGGTAGGTATGGGTTTATGGATGAGCTGGAGGATTTTGTTCAGAAGATTTCATTCGATCTCACTGTCCCAATGTTAATGAGGGTTTTTGACGCTTGTCGAGAGTATGGACACGTAAGACTGGGAGAATGGGCTACTGATCGACTTAATGAATTGAATCCTGCAATTCCATTCCGGTTTGAAATCATGGACAGGACCAAATTGGGGAGAATGGGCTACTGATTGACTTAATGAATGGAATCCTGCAATTCCATTCTGGTTTGAAATCATGGACAGGACCAAATAGGGAATGTAGCATTAACTAAGACTAAAGATTTGGAGGAGCTATATTCAGTGTGTGTATGTATATGTAGGCATGCAAAAAGTTACCAATTGGATCTAAGTTTTGCAGTCTTAAAAGTGTAAACTGCTTGCAGGATGCAGAAGAATAAATGCCACTTATTAGACCATTTGGATTGGAAATTCAAATGGTTGAAACCACAACCCTTCTGGTCTGTATTGGTGCTATCAAAGAAGCACATTGATGCAAACACACTAAACCATGCAGTAAGAGAAGTTGGCTACATTCACCCTTTACCTAATCCAAGAAAGGTGGGCATACTTGTATCCCATACCTACGTTCTGGAATGGTTGTTTTCGAATCAATAAACAGAGGAGTCGGGTGTGCTTTGTCGATATATATATGTATATTGATATTTCAGCCATCGTCATCGTTTCCTTCTTATTTCTAGAAGCATTGTTGATGAAGAAAGAAGAGCGTTCCAAGGACTTGTGGAGCCTGTTTGTTGTGGCATTAATGGCTGTTGTTAGATGACTCGATGCAGAACACTCCATGGTAGAGGACTTAGAGGTTGACTCTTCACTTGGATGCCATCTTGTACAAATTATGAGTGCTGTACTTTTAGAGATCTTTAGTAATTTTTACTCCTATGTTTTGTATTGTATTAACTGTGTTCAGAAGTATCTATAACTCTTGAGATTCTTGATCAGTTTGAGCTCCGGCAAAAAAGGAACAAATGAGATTTATCAACAGGCATTAGCTTTCTACCCTATTAGGTGCAATATTGTAGGTGTATGTCCTCATGCATGAAAAAATGGTTTACGCACAAATGATGGGGCAAATTTTATAGATCAAAACTAATAGACGTGCTACAAAATTATTTATTTATTTGTTTAATGGAATAAATAATAATGGACAAAAAATTCAGCATTCTCATTTCACCAAATTCTTGTGCTGTTGAATTCTTAGGGTCTGTTTGGCAGCACCGCTTTACGATTTCAATGCCACCGTGGAACCACGGATTTGTAATCCCAAAACCAACCCAATCCCTCTCTAGCTCTCTCTCCCTGTCCTCGACCCTAATGTCACGGGCCTAGAGATTTGGCGCAACGGCACGGCCCGTGCGGCACCAAGGCGTTGCTTCAACTCGCTCAAGCGCCCTGGTCAACCATCACGACCTGCCCTCCCAAGGATATATGCTGACTGGTTTCGACCTGCCTTGGTCTCATCAGGGGAACGGCTCCAGCTCTTGACCAGTTTGTGCAGGGATGGCCAACTCCCTTCTTCATAGTCAAGTCCACGACCAGCGAGAAGCACCTCGAACTGAACCGAGTCAACCTGCCTGAACTCTGAAGAGGTACCATCCTGTGCTCCTGCACGCCCCTTCCTGGGAACCATTTCTAGTCAAACTCTGCTCTTTGCCAACCAGCATGGGTGTCTTCCATCCTCCAAGCGTCTTAGGAATCACTTCGTGACACTAGGCTCTCGATCTCTCCTGACCACCAGCCTCTCGATCTCAATCGATGGCTCATTCCTCAGCCCTTCGATGTCTATTCCATCTCAATCCAGCTCCCTGGTTCATCTCTAACCCTAGCTTTTCTATTTCAATCAGCCTTAAAACCCTAGCTCATCCATCATTATTTTGGAACCCTAGCTCAATCGTGCAGTTGAAGACGAGGATCATCTACTACTGTATGTCAGTTTCTCTCTGTGCTGATTTTTTCCCTCTTGGTCGTCTTCTTCTTTAAACCCTAACTATGCATTTGTTTCTTTTCCTAATGGTGCAGAAATCAAAGAAGTCATATAGAAGAGATTTTCTGTTATCTTTTACTCATTTGGATATGTGCAGAGAGTTACCCAAGTGGATTTGATCAGTCAATTTTAGAGTAAGACTCTGCTATACTTGTTTATTTATTTTTTCCTTGTTGCTAAGTTTATTTTGTTATTGTTGATGTCTTCAAAGTTTCTGAAAATTTTTGAAACCATGATTTTTTATCTAAATTTTTGGTGCTATTAATTGTTTCTGCTGAAATTTAGAAACAACTCAACAACATTTTTTGTGAGAGTGTGCTGTGTTTCTTTATAGTTTGTATCATTTAAAACATTAACTACATTTTTTACCCTCATTTTATAATGATTCAGACAGTCAAAATTTTCATATACAAGAGATTTTCTTTTGCCACTTGGTGAGTTGGAAATTTGCAAAAGGTTACCTGGTGGGTTCGACCCATCAATTCTGGGGTAAGATGCCACCATAGTTGTGAGATTTGGTTGTTATTGTTGTTGTTATATTGCTCTTAATTTTATGTTTCGTTCTTTAAACAGCAACGTGGAGGAGAGCAAGACCTCTTTGCAAGCCCTTGGTTTTAGCTATGATTATTATTGAATTAATCTCTTTTGTTAAATATCAATTCTCTATTGATTGTCTGATTGATGATCTTTTGTACTCTTTTTTCCTAGCACTATCTCCATATTCCATTGGCCATGGCTATTAAGTGGGTGTGTGACATCGTCTTTCACTACTCTAAAGTTGTTGGTTATATTACAAGGTGTGTAAATATATAGAGCCTTGCGTGATTTGTTGACATTGGTTGTTTCTTGTCACAGAATGGAAAATTATTTACGTGTTCATTCCTCTAATATTAATGAAGATGAGAGAAGAAAAAAAGGGAAGTACATCTTCGGTTTTCATGCAGTTATGGCAGCAGCTGCAATTGTATGGTGGCATGAGAAGTATATGGTTAAGGAGCCCGCGCAAGATTTGAGAAGAGAGAGAGAGAATTTTATTTGCGCCCGCCTTTACTTATTTAACTAGTCTACCTTGGTAGTAGAGCTATTTGTTTTGAAAAATATTCTTCAAAAACTATATAAGTAGTATCCATCTAACATGAGCAGATATAATGTATAGCTCAAATAACTTATGGCTAAAATGACTACTCATCACCCTCGTGTTTTTTACTACCAAGTTGAGAGCTAGAACCAACTAATAAATTTTAATCTTTCTCTTAAGTTTTGTGCACCTCATTAATCATTTTAGCTTATAGCTAAGCAAACTAGTTTGCAACTTAATAACATTTTAGCTTTTAGCTAAATTGTACATTAGAACTAACTAGCTTGATTTAGCTTATTTTGGTGTACTTGCTTAGTGTATCCATAACAATTTCCATTAAACTCTTTTAGAGTTATTGGAAAATCTTCTCTTATTCAACCTATTCACAACTATACATGTCTTAAATACTAATATAAATCTTTTTCCCTTGAGTATCAGGAAAATTGACATAGTTGGACTAGTTAATTTTTGCTTGTTGTATTACATACACAAACCAGTTATGAACCCATACAAATTTAATAATATCACATATTAAATAAACTATATTATAAAATTGAATTACAATGCACACTAACTAATTCAACTACATAATTCAATATTATAGTAAACATTTATAACAATAAATGTTTACTATAATATTGAACTCGCATAAATAAATATAGTTTAATATTATATCACATGATTAATTTAAGAAATAATAATAAATTCACTCCATCACATGGTATAAAATTATCCGCTTTGGACCCAAGCCCACATGATTTTATTCTTGGGTTTTATCGTAAAAGGCCTCATATCAATTGGAGATAATACTACCACATAAAAATACTTCACATTTCCCTTTCCTAAGCGATGTGGGACTGTGCACCTGTAGCTCCCCCAGTGTGGTAGCCTTTCAGTGCCTTTTGCATCTGTTCACGATACACCCGCCCATAAGATCGCCACATTATAGGTCCTACTTTAATATTTATTTATTTTTTTTTTTTTTTAAGAGTAGGAATTGCAACATTTGTTAGAGACCCCCACACTTTTAAGAAGTTATAGGAAGGTTTTCAACCTTTTCATAATTCCTATGGTGTCATATTCGTTTTCTTTAGAGGTATTTTATTGAGAACATAATTTGCGGAAAACAAAACTTCCCCCACAAATTCTGAAGTAAACCAGAACTTATCAACACAGCATTCATCATTTCTTCGTGAATGATACCATGTTCTGAACAATTATAAAAGCATGGTATTTTGTATTCACCAGCTCTATCATTTCTTAACACCTTAATCTTTTTGCCAAGTTGATTCTCAACCTCATTTTAGTAATGTTTAAACATTTCTAAGGTTTAATCTTTGTTTCATAGCAAATATACATAACAGTATCTTATGTAATCATTGATAAAAGTAACGAAGTACTTTTTTTTCACATCTAGTTGGCACAAATTTAAGATAATATAATATACTACGTAATATCATATTACAAAAATAACTTAACCAATATTGAATTATATCAATAATCTACTTATATAACATGCTTCAATTTCACATAATATTGAACATATTATCATATAATAATGTATATAATATTATTTTATTATATTTCAACTACTAGTATAATATTTACTTATTTATATCTTAAATAGAAGCATATAATAAAATTTATGCAAGGAATGAATCTGTCTTAAAATTGTTGGTAAAATATATGTTTCATGTAACATTTAATATATAACAACACTTATACTAATATGCTATGAGATAATTAATAATATGCTAAGAAATGATTAATTACATATGCAACTATATATTTAATTAAATATGTAAAATAAAACAATAAATTAATAAATAATAAATAAAGAACTTGAACCGAGGCTAGTATTGGATACTATGTTCTTAAGACAGATTCGCCTCGCTATGGTGCTAATGGACTTAGTGGCATCTATCTCCCAGGATACAACAGTCTACATCCACCAGTAGCAGCACTACAAACTTGTGGATACGGCGAACTTCCTTCGTGTAATACTCTCTCTGACTTAAAAATGCATCTATGCTATATAAATGCTAAATTGGATGCAATCTGAACCAAACGGTTCGAACCAATCTTAATATGGTTTGGTAAAATTGGATTAAGGTCTAAGTAGCTCAGACCACTTGATTTTTGGATTGAACGCACTTGGGTTGGGTTCAAGTTTAAAGAGGGAGAAAGAAAAAAATTGAATTTTAACAAAACAAATGACAGCCCATGGGGGTATTTATAGAAATAGAAGTGCCTTTTCGGATTGGGTGTGTCTCTTTATCATTGGACACAACCATTCATATGTATCTCTTCATCATTGGACACAACCATTTATATGTGTCTCTTCATCATTGAACACAACCATTTGTATGTGTCTCTTCATACTGGACACAACTATTTATATTGGTTGTAATGGTTTACATGGTTTCTGTTCACCAATAGACACGTCTACTCCAATAGGTTGCAATGGTTCACATGGTGTCTGTTAATCACTAGACACATCCATTCCAATAGGTTGTAATGATTCATATTGAATATGTTATGTTTGTTTGATTGTACCTTTTCAATCAACATAGCCATTCACGTATATATTGTAATCCAATGCATCTTTATAGTTTATTAACCATTTCTAACCGATCCTCAACATAGGCACCTATTGATTACTTATGAAGCAATTTTCATTAAAAAATTCTAACATTAACGTGGGAGGCAAGTTGGTGGTTCGAAGGCACTAGAGTTTGGACTTGTTTTAGAGTTCATATGTTGGAGGTAATTTAATATCCGGTGATCATAGGATCAAAATCTACAATTTTTTTTTTCGGTAATTAAAAAAAATCTAGACTCCTTTTATAGGTTTCACTGTACAAGCGTCGGTCCGATGACGATGGGGGTTCGGTCAGCCGAACCTAGAGTTTTGGTCAGCTG